TTTGAAACACGTGGAAATATGTTCTAGTGTATAGAAAATACAATAGATGGCACTTGCAGTTACGGTACTAATTTTAGCGAGGGCTTTACTTGAGTACACGGTAATACCGGGTACGGGCATTTTACCGACATTTTATAATACCCGGTACTACCGGGTATACGCAGTGAAAGGGTTAAACATTGTACATTTAAGAGTCAATCGGATATTAACTTTAGCCTCTAGAGCTTCCACAAGATTTTACAAAGTGATCAAGGGCCATAACTCTGGCAGTAATTATCGGAAATCGCTGAAAATTTTTGGCTTCTTCAGTCTCATGACCCTAAACACTGTATAAATTTAAAGTCAATCAGATATTATCTTTAGTCTATAGCGTCCACAAGATTTTTTCAAAGTGATCAAGGGCCATAACTCGGGCACTAATTATTGAAAATTATGGCAAATCAATAGGCTTCTTCGTCTCATGACCTTTAACACTGTATAAATTTAAAGTCAATCGGATATAAACTTCAGTCTGTAGAGCGTCCACAAGAAATTGTGGACGTCGGATCGGGACGACAAAATACGACCACATTTCAATCTGGGATTATATAAAAAGGTTACACCATGTATTGTTAGCTTTATATAAGTACAACAATTTCCTTTGAAATCCAGGAAGAAGGTTTTATGAATTGTTTTTAACAGATTACCATAGTTTCCTCTATATCCACCATATCCTTGATATCCACCCCAATTATTATAACCTCCTCTAGGTGGTCCTCTACTATAACCTCTTGAATAACCTCTATAACCACCTCTTCCTCTATAGTTTCTTCTCATACCTTCATTTGCACCAAATGTTTCAACGTTTAGTTTTCTTTCCTCCCTCCAACTCATTCTGGAATTTTTCCTTAAATTAGTGTAAAAAGAAATGTAAGACCAGTAGATGAGTTGGTGTATTTATTCGAGAGAATTTCAACTAAAGAGACATGGGTTCATTTTTGGATTAACACATGGGTAATTTGTTTACTATGGTGACATGTACAATTCCACTGGGTTATGTTTCCTGCAACATCAATAAAAGGTTGCCAGGCAACGAAACGTATGCCAACACCAGCTAAATTGTCCGAGCAGCCGACAAGGGTTGTTGCATATTTATTCTTCAATTTGTTTCCTATGGTGACATGTACAATTCCACATGGTTATGTTTCTTGCAACATCAATAAAGATATGTTGCCAGGCAATGAAAAATGCCCACTGCAGCTAAATCGTCCGAGCAGTCGACAAGGGTTGTTGCATATTTATTGTTTTGTAGGTAATGGGGGTGGGGGGGGTGGAGGGAGCATTTACAAGACAATTTCATACAGATCAGATTATAATTTCCATTATTTGAGGTTTCACAATAAATGGGTCTACAAACTGAAACAAGGGCCTTAATTAACAAAAATTTCTGAAATTCAATAGGTCTCTTCGTTTCACTAATTTAAATAATGCATAAATTTCATACACATTGGATGATAATTTATATCATTAGAGATTTCACAAGGTTGAACAAAGTGAAACAAGGGCCAGAACTCGAGAAGTTATTGACAGAAATTGCTGATATTCAATAGGTTTCTCTGTTTCACTCATTTAAATGATGCATATAAATTTCATACAGATCGGAAAATAACTTGTCGTTTAGAGCTGCAACGATTCAGTTCGGTGCACCGATAACCGACACTAGCCGTCTCGGTTCGATCCACGATCTACAACGTTCAAATTTCGATTCGGTTCAATTGCAAATTAAATTTCAAATAAAAACAACGTACACCTTACCATATGAAAAACAAGCCAACAGTGAGGCTGATGTCCCCCGCCGAAATCCCCAAATAAATAGATGACACATTAATTAATTGCACATCTATTTTTTTCCAAAATATCAAGCAATCAAACTGATTATCAACTATAAACTAAGTTTCATCACTCTCTATCAGATAGAATCAAAGTTATCTTGTCCCAAAGCAGGAAATTGCTTATCTCTGCTTAGCTTTAGCTCAATATGTTAATCATTGAACTCAGTCAAGACGAACATCTACATCAAGTTTAAACATTCTACCTCAATTAGAAGAAGAGTTTGACCAATCAACATGCTTATTGTTCGTTGGCCTAAGCAAAAAATTCTCATCATCGAACTTAGTCAAGGTATTGATGTAATGAACTATACACCAAGTTTCATCACTCTCACTTAATTAGAACTAAAGTTATCGTGTTCCACTTCCAAAGCATCAACCAATCAAATTGCTTATCTCTGCTTACCCTAAGCAGAAAATGATCATCTTCACACTCCATCAAGGCATTGACCTCATTAACCCCTACACCAAGGTTGAACATTCTAGCTCAATTAGAAGGAGGGTTATTGTGTTCCAAAGTCTTGGCCAATCAAATTGCTTATCGCTCTGCTTACCCTGAGCAGAAAATGCTCATCATCGAACTAAGTCAAGGTATTGATGTAATGAAACTATACACCAAGTTTCATCACTCTCACTTAATTGGAACTAAAGTTATCGTGTCCCAAAGCATCAACCAATCAAATTGCTTATATTTGCTTACCCTAAGCCGAAAATGCTTATCTTCGCACTCCATCAAGGCATTGACCTAATAAACACCTACACCAAGTTTGAACATTCTAGCTCAATTAGAAGGAGGGTTATTGTGTTCCAAAGACTCGGCCAATCAAATTGCTTATCGCTCTGCTTACCCTGAGCAAAAAATGCTCATCATCGAACTTAGTCAAGGTATTGATGTAATGAAACTATACACCAAGTTTCATCACTCTCACTTAATTGAAACTAAAGTTATTGTGTCCCAAACAAAGCATCAACCAATCAAATTGCTTATCTTTGCTTATCCTAAGCAGAAAATGCTTATCTTCACACTCCATCAAGGCATTGACCTAATAAACACCAACACCAAGTTTGAACATTCTAGCTCAATTAGAAGGAGGGTTATTGTGTTCCAAAGTCTCGGCCAATCAAATTGCTTATCGCTCTGCTTACCCTGAGCAGAAAATGCTCATTATCGAACTTAGTCAAGGTATTACTGTAATGAAACTATACACCAAGTTTCATCAATCTCACTTAATTAGAACTAAAGTTATCGTGTCCCAAAGCATCAACCAATCAAATTGCTTATCTCTGCTTACCCTAAGCGGAAAATGCTCATCTTCGAACTCCATCAAGGCATTGACCTAATCAACACATACACCAAGTTTGAACATTCTAGCTCAATTAGGAAGAGAGTTATCGTGCCCCAAAGTATCAACCAATCAAATTGCTTATCTCTGCTTACCCTAAGCGGAAAATGCTCATCTTCGAACTCCATCAAGGCATTGACCTAATAAACACATACACCAAGTTTGAACATTCTAGCTCAATTAAAAGTTATCGTGTCCCAAAGCATCAACCAATCAAATTGCTTATCTCTGCTTACCCTAAGCGGAAAATGCTCATCTTCGAACTCCATCAAGGCATTGACCTAATCAACACATACACCAAGTTTGAACATTCTAGCCCAATTAGGAAGAGAGTTATCGTGTCCCAAAGCATCAACCAATCAAATTGCTTATCTCTGCTTACCCTAAGCGGAAAATGCTCATCTTCGAACTCCATCAAGGCATTGACCTAATAAACACATACACCAAGTTTGAACATTCTAGCTCAATTAGGAAGAGAGTTATTGTGTCCCAAAAAGTGTGACGGACAGACAGACGGACAGACAGACAGACAGACAGACAGACGGACGAACCCATTTTAATAGTCCCCTGCTTTCTTCGAAAGGAGGGGGACAAAAATGAAAGACCTGTAGCAATTAAGTCCACTTAAAATTTAAGAAAAACTATGTTTTTACGTAACTTTTAATTTACGTTATTTAACAAAAGACGAATGTCACTCGAAAACATAACTAAAACAGAGTGACCTCCCTTTAAAACAATTTCCGTATGCTGACGAAAGTTAATTTATTTAAAATTGGTGACGTACCGAATGTTCATTGGATGTTAATTTAGGTCAATAGCTTCGGTAATCGTTATATAAATTCTAAACGATCTCATTAGCTGATAATTCCGGTCATTATCGTGTTTAGTGATTATTACCCGTAGCCAAGCAAACACTGGAAGGTAAAATTATGGCAGACGACGTACTTTCTCGACCACCTGGTCGTTTGAAATCTAAAGTTTGGGATCATTTTGGTGTAAGAAAAAACTCTAAAGATGTGGCAACTTGCAGAGTATGCTACACTGACATATCCGATAAAACAGGAAACACAACAAACCTGTCAAACCATCTCAAAAGAAAGTTCAAGAGAATTTTAGTCTTGTGTTTTTATTTTTTTTAATGAATTATATACAGGAAAAATTACTGGTTATTGTAGCTGATAATAGAATCGAAAATAATCGAATCGAATGGTTAAAATCGATAATCGAACCGAATCGAGGTAGTTGTGAATCGTTGCAGCCCTATTGTCATTAGAGCCTTCACAAAATTCATCAAAGTAAAACAAGGGCCACAACTCTAGACATAATTAACGGATATTGCCGAAATTTAATAGGCTTATTCGTTTAATGCATACAAATTTCACACAGATCGGATGATATAGTCCGGCAGAACTTTGGTTGAACCTGGATTGATTTCAGTATCCTAGGGTGAACCTCCGTCACTCTTGAGCATTTTGAGAAATTTAAGATGGCGTCCAAGAGGATGCTATTTCGAATATTCCGAAACTGACGTAGTAGTCTAAGGCCACCTAGCCTATGTTATTCCACAGTCCAAGCTACCCCTATACACCAAATTTCAGCCTCAGACAGCCCTAGTGTTGCCGCCAACCCTGAACAGACAAATGACAGTCATAAATATTAATATAGATAATCTCAAAAACTATAACTATATCTGGTTAATTACAGATTTTATTATGTTATCAAAATAGAAATGGGCCTCTAGAAAGTTCCTCATGTTAACCCATGCACTGTATCAAAATATCAACAAACTTCATTTTAATACTAACCCTTCGGCTCTCTCTTTTGCTTCACAACTGATATTGTCAAAAAATGATTTGTTTTTATCATAATATATTTCATCGTCATCCTCTTCTGGTGGTGGTTGTAATTGTTCGCTAGGTTCTTCACCTTCTTCCTTTTCCCCATTTATAGGCTTATCACCTAAAATTTGAACATACATTATACAGCTTGCATTTCCATCTTCAATAGATGGCTTGATATTGCCTTTAGTTTAAACTCCATAAATCTTATCAAGCCTTTCACGTAATACCCCGCATATTTCTGCACTAATTCCGATTGGGTACTGACCAAGCTTGAGACCCTATCAGATTCCTCTATAATTACTAACACCAAATCTTGCACTTTCCAGCTAAAATGTCTACATGTGATCTTTTGGATATGAACATATATTTTAAGTTTCATCAAGATCAGATAAAAACTGACTTCTAGAGGGTAGAAAACCTTGGTATTACATACTATTAACCTTTTTGAATACAAGTAGCAGCTATTTTGTCAAGCAGTTTCAGTCCGTTTTTCACGAGATTTGAACTCAACCTTCACCGAGGTGCAACGGTGATATACTTAAATGTTTTTTAAAATTGAATACAAATTGTGACTTCTAGACGGTCCACAAGCTACAAACGTTTTTTTTTTGGACAATCAGGGGCCATAATCCAGGAAGTTACCTTCCGATATGCGTGATTATCGAGAGGAACCAAGATCCTTGTGATATAAACACACATTTAAAGTTTCATCAAAATTGATGATTACATATTTTAGACTATTTGCATACAAGGAGTGGCCATTTTGTCTGGTAGTTTCAGTTGGATTTTTATGAAATACCAACTCAACTTCATGGAAATGTAACAGTAATATACTTAAACGGTTTTTAAAATTAAATCCAAATTGTGACTTCTAGAAGGTCCACAAGCTAAAATTTAATTTTTCGAAGAATTAGGGGACTTAATCCAGGAAGTTCCATTCCAATATGTGTGAGTATCGAAAGTAACCGAGATCTTTGTGATATAAACATACATTTAAAATTTCATCAAAATCTTATCAAAATTGTGACCTCTAGAGGGTCCACAACCTTGATATGACATACTATTACACTATTTGTGTTCAAGGAGAGGCCATTTTGTTCGACAGTTTCGGTGCGATTTGTAGAAATGTGAACGGACGGACGGACAGGGATGACGAAAATATACTTCCACATGAAAATGTGGGCGTATAAAAATTAAATAAGGGGCAAGGTCTCATCCTACACTATTTTTTGCAATTCCCATCCAAATATCACAAATTTGCTTGTAATACTGAAACTTGTATCTAAATACATGTACGTATGCCGTTCAAATCTCAGATATTTAGATAATTTTAGCATTCATGCAATCTACACATTTTATTTATTCTCTCAGCACTTTAAATATCCTTCAGGTAGAAGAAAATTCGGTTAAATTTCTATTATAAATCTGTGGAAAGATTTTACATTCTGGTACATTCTACATTTTCTACGACATTCTTTGTATAAACCAGTCTCCCTTTATCCGATCACAATATCCTTTATTAAAGACTTCACAGCTAAAACACAGTATTTGTGACAAAGGTGTCTCATCAGGGTGAAAAAAATCGATAACCTTGCAATTCCTAATACCGTAAGGGTAGCAACTATTTCTTTTGGTGGATCTCCCAACCCCCAGGGGTGATGACGCACCCACTTTTTGTTAATATATAGTCTGTAAATTTGGCAAAACAAAACAAACGCCTAGCCTTCTTTGCCTTATAGTCATTGCAGCCATTTCATATTACATGCTCTTTATTTTAAAAGGTACCATATCTATCAAAGCAGGAATGTGGACGTATATTTTTTAACTTGAAAAAATAAATAATCTTGCAATTTTAAGTATTGATAGTTCAATATCTTAGTCATTAAAATTTATGAATGTGGACGTATAAAAAGTGAAAGGTTGCCAGGCAATGAAACATATGCCCACAGGAACTAAGTCATCCGAGCAGTCCACAAAAGTTGCCGCATATTTTTTCTATTGTCGGTAATAAAACATTTATAATACACTAAATCTGATTAAGAGTAACAACTCATTAAGTAATTTTCAGAAAATCATTAGAATTTGCTTTGCTTTTAATTCTGCCCCATGCTAACGTTTAGTATACGAAACATTTAATATTGTGGATTTAGCTGTTCAAGTTATCCAAATTCATTGAAAATCAATATACTTGTTCGTCTTAAGACCTTAAATTTGTTTATCAATCTTAAGTCAATTGGATCATAACTTTGGTCTCTAGAGCATCCACAAGTGATAAAGGGCAATATGACTAGGGATGGGCGATAATGAAAAAAAATATCAAATATCACAATAAATGATGTTATCGTGATAATTTATAATTGTGTCTTAAGTCAAATTTTGAATATTTGGTTCGAGAATTGTCGCTTGATGCCACATTTTTGTTGCCAACATCAGTGATAGAGATTTACCCTAGACCAGCTGGTACTCAATAATGCTATTTTTACGGATGAATTTAATTATCAATAAAATATCGTACAAGTTAGTTGAAGTAAAATATTAATTATGATAACACGTAAACAGTGACAGTTTCGACTAAGGTAAATATCGTATTTTACAGGGTAGAAGTCGATGAGGGGTATAGGTCGAATCGTCATATTTTACTGGGGTTTTTTCCAACCTCTGTCCATTGATAAGTCGAAGCGGTGTCGTGTAAGACGATTGGTTTTCCATTCATTTCGGGTAGTAATCTTTAATCGAGTTAAGGTAGTATTATTATCCTATCCTAGACAATACGTTACCGTCCAACCTTAACCTTGCCAAACAACTGTTCCTCGATTACGAGTCCTTGCATCAATCATGACCTCTCGCACTGCAATTTCGACTTCGTAGGATATAGCAAATTATCATCAATATTGGGACATGATAATTATATCGAGATAATTTTTATGAAATTCAAACTTAACCATCATCAGGGTGTAACGAAATATTAAAACGATTTTTTAAAATCCAATAGAAATTGTGACCTCTAAAAGGTACCACAAGGTAAAATCGTGATTTTTTCGTACAATCAGATGCCATTATCCAGGAATTTACAATCTGATATGCGCAAATATCGAAATGAACCACGTTTTAAGTTCATCAAAATCAGATCAAAATTGTGACCTCTTAGAGGATCCACAATCTTGATATTACATACTTTAACACTATTTTCATACAGGAAGCAGCCATTTTGTCTGTTGTCTGGCAGTTTCGGTCCGATTTTAAGTCAACTGTCATTATGGTGTAACAGTAATATATTCGAAAGATTTTTTAAATCGGATAAAAGTTGTGACCTCAAGAGGGACCACAACCTAAAAACAGGGTTTTTGTACAATCAAGGGCCATAATTCAGGAAGTTACCAAGATCTTTGGGGTTATAAACATGCATTTATAGTCCCATCAAAATCGGATAAAAACTGTGACCTGTAGAGTGTCCACAAACAAACTGGACAGATGAACAGATGGGGGCGACGATAATATATGTCCACATGAAAATGTGGGTGTATAAAAACGATAAGATCATACTTATTGTAAGTTTTTGTTTCAATTCCTCTTCTATCTTTTCTTTATCAAATTGTGCATTTGAGGTTTCAAAATCAAACTCTGATTCAAATTTGAGGGGTTCGGTTTTGGCACCATTAGAAGTTGGTCTTCCACCTCCACGGGGTGGACCCCTCCATGAAGCTCTTGGACCACCACGAACATTGGGACTTCCACGAACAGGAGCACCTTTGTAAAAATAAACAAAAGCATGAATACCCAAATGTCTAATCAGCACAAATAATATAATTGCATTTGTAACCTTGTGTTAACTTTTTAAAATTCAATGCCTTTAAATTTCAATAATTTTTTAATATAAAGTATACTTAATTTAAGGTGTTTTCTATACATATCTTATCAAGTTAACATTTCTACGGGAGCAGTTTGCACCATCAGAATTTATTTTTTAAAACTCATGAAACTATGTGCAAAATCACAAACACTGAAATGTACATGTACCTCTATTATTTCCTCTACCTCGTACATATGAATTATTTGATCTAACTTGCTGATTTGGAGCTTTACGCTCTCTGTATTCATTGCGTTGTTCGTTGTAACCAGATGCCTTATGTTCAGAACGATGTTGATTAGATTGATTGGATTTATTAGAATGGGGAGTGGGAACTTGAGTACCGGTATCTGATGTGGGAGACTTCCTACCAAGTGGAGGTGTTCCACCTCGAGAACCTAACAAAATAAATATATATATACTATGATTCATAACATTTCTATTAAAACAATACATGCAAGTAAAGCAAGCCACACACAATTTTAAATGGTACATGTAAAATATTTATAAATATTTTTAAATTATCGTCTTAAAATTAAAACTTATGAATATGACGTAATATTCTTAAATACATGCATCTCAGAAAACACTTTACAAAATAATCAGTTATTACACGACCACATCAAATTTCAATTTACAAAGTGTTGTGCAAAACATAAATTTGAGGTTAAAACATTTATTACCTTTAGATACATAAATCAAAATATTGCTTCTGTGCATTTATAATTGTAACACAAATAGTGCAAAACAAGCAAGAAAGAAACACAAAGAAAGCTAGCATCATGAAATCAAGTGCAAGATTCACAAAAGTTATTGGACTGTAAAAATAAGGCATTTTTTTGATGGACATTTACCCGGTTTTCTTGAGAGCTGTGACCCAACTTGTACACCTTGGTCCATAGTTGGTGATATACGATTAAGACTAGGGGATGAGCCCCTGGAACCTATCATAAAATTAAAATCCCATGCCTTAGAGGAATCACTTTAAAATTATTTTGGAAGAAATACAATATTTCAATAGGAAAACATTTCAAATTATTGTACAAGATGTACTTCACATTTGATTAATTAGGAAGTGAATAGAATTTCATTACTTGGAACAGGATAAATTGTACAAAATTATTAAAATAAGATGAAATTTGATAGTAATTTTATTGAAAAATTTGAGAAGTGAAAAGAGAAATCACATAAATCTAATCGATAAAATATTCAAAACACTACATACCTGACTGAGAAGCAACTTGCTGTATATTATAGGCAGGATTTGCAGGGGCGGACGTCTGACCATATTGATTGTACATCGTTGGTCCACTAAATGGTTGAAATGTTGGGGCAGCATTAAATCCAGCATGCTGGCACATTGCACTTGGTGTTGCATTTGGCTGTGAAGACTGAATATGAAAAGTTTGCATAAAACAAGATGCCTTCCCAGTAGTATAAACTGTGTGATTTGCTAATATATTTGGACTAAAAACTTAAAACGTCAAATCACTTTTAGAACATTTTAATTGGAAAGATGGGTTGCCAGGCAACCAAACATGCCCACAGCAGCTAAATCGTCCGAGCGGTCGACGCATATTTCTTTTGTAAGTAATTAGGGGCATTTACAAGACAATTTCATACAGATCGGATAATAACTTTTGTCATTCGAACGTTCACAAGGTTCACAAAAGAAACAGTCAAAATGACGGGATGCAGTGCTCAGTTGCAATAGCCGTCTATAGGGAAATTCATGTCTGTCATCTGACGTCACTCAAAAGAGAAAATCAAAACATGGCTGTTTTTCATATTAAAACAACTCTTTGCTGTAGTATTCTCCTTTAAGTTAACCTGGCAGACATTATATATTAAAGCTGTCAGGTTGACAGGGATACCCTATCATTTTTGACCAGCGCTTGGCCCATGGGTGTTTTTCAGGGAATCCATTATTGTTCTAGTAAGATTGGGCGTCTCTACTGTCCATATACAACATACCAAATTTGCCATACTTTTATTGGAAATAACTACCCCATAAATACTACTGTAGAAATACATCTTTGAGCATAAAATGAATTTTTGGGGAATTATTTTGGAATTATTTTTGTTGTCAAAACTAACAACGAACTCCAACCGAATCAAATTTTGTCTAACTGAAATGTTTCCATTGTATTGTAACACAAGAATAAAGAAAATTTATATCAAAATATGGTTATTTCATATTTTAAAAAGTTAAACAAGAAGCCATTTTGTTACCAAATTTTAGTTATTAAACTTATTCAATTAAATATCTGTGTTTTTATTTTAAGCAATAACTAGAAGATTTATAATATTGAAAAAGATACACAGACTATAGATATTTTGCTAGACCACTTTGTGTTTTGAACCCACTTTGTGTTGTGTTTACCGCACATGATTGCCAGAGTGGTGGCAGAAGAAACAAGGAATCAATTCAACATGGCCATATCTGTGATAGATGCATTACTTGTTTTTTCAGGCTTGTATTTGTCAAGAAAATTTACTGCCCAAATTTGGTTACATGTATTGGATCAAAACAGCTGCCCAAATCTGGTCAAAACTACAGTGATAACTTGGCTCAGAATGAAGAACTTGGAATGAAATTTTCAATATTTTCACTTGACATTATCTATTTAGGAGGAGCTATTATAGCAAGAATGGTCAGCTCTTTATCTAAATCTTACCTAATGTATCTTTAACATACCTTGACTATTGCTGGATCAACTGGCAATCCTTGATTAGATTGCTGTTTTGGAGGTTCACAGACATGTAGATCTTTAATATCACTACCACGGAAGATGATGTATTCAAAAATTTCATCTCTTGGTGGGACAGGACGATCTGTTGGTCTATCTTCAGTACCAAATGATCTCACTAAAACAAAAAATTTCAAGAGTACCGGTAAGATTTTACCCATCTTACATGTAAATTAACTACAAACATCAAAATGCTGTCTTTCTCCTGTAGATTTTAATCATTTCAGACATTTTGTTTATGATTCCTTTTAGGTCAAAAGTATTGCTGAATAGCTGGAATGACAATGTCATTTCTTATTCACAAAAATAAAATTAAAAGGGCTCAATAGGCATTTTATTCAATTACCCTAATCAACGAATTTATCGACACTGATTTTCAAAGCGATTACCCGAAATTAGGCCTGCATGGAAGTTAGATTTGATCACGTGATCAGTTAGTTTTTTCAACTTGATTGTATTACAAATTGTATTTTTTACTCCATTACAGAGCTGAATTTAATAATACTATTTAATACTAATAGCCATCTCCACTTCAGTGATTGACAATGACCAAGAATGAACATCATTTTCTTTCACAAGGGAGTTGAAAGTTTAACATAACAGTTCTTGCACATGGAACCTTGTTCATACTGGTACTAATCCAAGCTGCAACTAAGCCAAACTTTACATAAGACCATACAAGATTACAAGGAAGCAAATTACAGAATGATAATGACTGTGTGGTTAGTCTACACTTTTTATGGACTTTATTATGTGAGGTTCTATTCAGTTACTGAGTTAGTGAAATGATTTGGCCAGGAAGATTTCAAAACTGACATTCAATACAAATTTTTAGGTCATTGTTTTTCATTCTTGCCAATAGCCTAGTACCAATAGGCTACTCTTTTGAACTTTGTTTTGGCCAAAAGTAACTGAGCGGGGGATACAATATTAAGACTCAACTGTCTCAACAAACAGAATTGCTCAGAATTGGTACAAAATACCGGTAACAATAAAATACCCGAGTCAAAAATACGCCAAACATTTTTTAGTTTGTTTGTGGCTTCATACAGTAATAATTAACTTGGGTAATACACTTTTATTGATAAAACACATTACTTTTAAAATGTTTGTTTACATATTTTTTGGCCATAAAGGTTCTCACCTTTTGCAAGTGCAACGGTCGATTCATTTGGATCGATAGTGTATAAAATACCCTCATAACGAATTTCCGCTTTCGAAATTAAACTTATTTTACTCCCTAAATATGGAATTCCCTGACTCATGGTTGCAATAACCAGATGAGTCAAAACTGGGGAAGATGCTTTCGGATTAAGATATCAACCGTAATCAATTCTTGAAGGAAAATGGCGTTCTTCAGCAGCTGAAGTCAGGTGGCGCTGCAAAAATATATCAATCCCATGAAGCAATTTCAGCGCATGCTCATTGTCATTGTAAATTCTGGCGAGCCAGGGAAATGGCGGACCCAGGTTCAATAGACGATTTACTTTCTTCAGAAATAGATGAGAGTGCGGTTAGCGCGTTAGTTGGGTCCCTAGAATCACAGTTAGCATCCTCTACGAATAGAGACTTATCTAAGACCCCGTCAGATTCCTCTGTGAACAACAATCACATTAGTAGCATAACATCTAATGCTACTACAACAAACTCACTATTCAGTACAAATGCAAGTCAGGTAAATGTTTCCCAAAAAGGGTTGTCATCACATACAAACAGCACAATAAATTTTACCCTTGGGCAAGGAAATAAATCTGTACCCGAAAATCAGATTTTGGGAATTACATCCATTATAAACTCTACAGGTGCACCATCTTCTGGAGTAAATGCATTAGTTAACTCACAGAATTCAGATCATCATGTATCTCTCCCTTCTAACACATCTTCTGTGAGAAATTTAGTCCATCCACACCAAAATAATGTAACAGACTCATCAGTGCATATTTCTTCGCCTAGTCCAGGAGTAAATGTTAGTACTGTTATAAATAGTAGTGCACCACAATTACAAGTAACAACAAATAATTTCCCTAGTACACAAACTGTCTCTGGTGCCTCTACAAGGGGAACAAACTCTGCTGCAAATGCAATTTATAATCTGGCAAATATTGCTTCGGAGCAAAAACCTATGACAATAGCCCAAAACGGTAATCATGCTCAGATACAAAAAGGCAGATCTGTGATAGCTTCGCCAAAACAATTTGTTGTGAAGCAGGAAAGTTCTAATATTCAAGTGAAACAAGAGGTCGGTTCACCATTTCTTAAAACGGACATTGTGAATGTGAAAGATGGTGCAAATATTCAAACTATTATTGGACAAACAACTCAAAGTGGTGTGTTACCGAGTGGAACCCCAGTATCTATTGTTGGGGGACGACCGTTGGTTAACACGCTTAAAGGTACTCCTGTAGGTTCAAATGTTATTACTGTTAGGGCACCAACAAATCAAGTGACTGTGGTTAGACCACCTTTATCTTCAACAACTAGTGGATCTGTGCAATTTAATCCTGTGAGACATGTTACATCTAAAACGGGACAAGTACGTGTTTCAACACCAATTAGAATGACAAATCATCCTCACCAAATAAGTATTGCTCCACGACAGTCAGGTGCTGGTGTAAGTACAAACATTTTATTTTATTCCTTAAAGTGTTTTTGATTTTCCAGTCAAAGCTGTGTCCATTTTATTAAACTGTTTTAATATTTAATTCTTTTATAAACAGTGTGAGACACTTTTATTTTTGCCAATGTTTAATCATTTGTCACACATGTGGCCTTTAGTGTATTTTTAATATGGTTCACTCATCTCACTATTGAAAATCTAAGCATTGACATGTTTATGAGCAACATCAACTTACTTCATAAGTGTGCACCTACTTTGGGCATTTGAGGCAATAATATTTATAATGCTAAATTCTGATTATAATTTAATGGATGAGTGTGTAGACCACAAATTTTATATTTTGATATGAATATCCCTGGCAGGGCTCACACTGTCAGTCGCCAAAGTTGCAATTTGTGATAAAAATATGAAAGTGGCGATTAAAATTTGATTTTGACAATAATTTTGGCGATAATGTTTCGCGGTACTGGCGATTCATTTTGAGAACTGGCGGAAAAAAATCTCAAAATTCTAATCGTATTTATCCTGAATTAAGTTATTAACCATTATTGAGTGTCAATCACATGGCGGGATACTATAAATTAATCAACTGGCTGATAATCCAGATCGCGTCAATGAGTAATACTAATCAGTTGTCTTGGATTAATGATTAATTGATTGATAATTGCCAATGATATATATAAAGCCTATGTCAAGTCACAATTTACTCCTAATGATTAATCCAAGCCGTGATTATTTGATGTTTCGTTTCATCTTAAAAAAATAACAATATACATGATACATGTAATCAAAATGATCGACAGTTCCTTGCTAAGAGAATTAAATATTTTGATAGCTGAATTCGTTTACAGTGGCTTGACTGGCTTCATATACAGCTTGTAAAAAATACAAGCATGCCTATCAGATATCATTATTTCAAATTATAATATCACCACTGGTCGAAAACGTAAGAACAAGTTGAATATTGACGATTCTTAAGTGAGAAAACAGTTCACCATTTGTATCATATTACCGTCGCCAAAATGCTCTAAAAGTTAACGACAGGTATATATTGTAAGTATCGCTTAACAAATATAATTGAAATTTATACCATTCTATCAGGGATTTAGATTCTGATACCTTTACGGTACCTGAAAATAACAATAGGCCCATTGTGCACACAACACATAAATTTATAGAAAAATGGCAATCCTTGGATGAGATTTGACGTGTAAATACTGAAAATATATTGTGCAGTGCAGTGTTCAAATAGACTAAAGTCACCAAAAATAAAATCTGATCTTATTAAATCCAAACTTTGCTAATCTATTATGTAAAGACAGATTTTTGTTATTGTATTGTATATATAGGTTTATTTTTTTATAATAATCCTAGCTGAGACAAAAAATTGTTAGGTGTTGTCTTTTTTATCACACATTTTTGGCAGATAAAATATTCCAGTTGGCGGAAAAAAATATGAACATTTTTTTTATATAAAAATTATCATCCGTTTTGGCGGAAAAAAATTGAAAGCCAGTGTGAGCCCTAATCCCTGGTCCCAATATGTGGGCATAGTCAAGTAAACCCCAAAATTTACTTATTAGGACAACAGTCAGCAACCATGGAGAATTGCAAATTCCCAAGTTTAAAACCGCTGATTTTCATACATGTGCATATAAAGTGCTTTATATTGACCCAATGTTTCCATCAAAGTCATTTGAATAACAATAGTTCATTTTTTTTAATAAAAAAAAGTTACTTTTAATAACAAATGAACTGTTTTTTGAAAATAAAAAAAAGTAGTTCCTTTTCAACTGACCAATCAAATTGATGTAAAGCGATATCTCCTAAGGAGATATTGCAGTAGATTATGATATCTACTGTAGAATCTATTATTGGGTGATAATAAACAATCAATGCCAAATCTTGTCATAACAGCAGGCGCTAATAACTTAGTAATTTGAATGAAATTTTCAGTATATTAAGTTTGCATTATATTATACAACAAAAGTTATCATCTGATATGTACGAAATTTATATGCATCATTTAGATTAAAATTGTGACAACCCTTGAGGACCACTCTGACAAATTAGCTGCTGTGAGCATATGTTTTGCTGCCTGGCAACCTATCTTCTATTTTTGAACTAATTATAGTAAGAACGGAAAGCTCTGTATCTACAATGTAAATCTTACATACTGCATCTTTTTTTGATTGAATATTAATATTATTAATAAATTTAGCCCGGTTAGAGCTCTTGGGTCATAAAACCACATTTCATTTCATTTATTAATAAAATCTATTTTTTATCATTCATAGAACACCATCACTTTAAGTCCAGGACTTCAGTTACCACCTAATACGATATTGATGAAAAATGAACATGGGCAGCTTATGTTGGTATCTACTGCCCACTCAGGTAGTGCAACACAAGGACAAGGTCCTGTTTTAGCTACAAAAGTTCAAAATGTTCGGGTTAGTATAAAAGCAGTAACAAATTTTATTTGTTGTCGATTATTCAAAAAGATATTAATGACATTGATAAACGTTTCCATTGCTAAAGCTACAATGAGCCAATGAAAGTAGCAACAAGCTGAAAAGTGTGCTTTTAATTGTCTAAAACATTAGCTTAAGTTTTATGGATGGATATATGTAGCTATGAGTTATCCTTCTATCATTGATTGACAATTCTGAAACAATATAGATGGCGGCAATGAATCTGTATCATCTGAACTGTACATGGCCTTAATTTAGATATGGATTGATATAAATGATTCTTGGACCAATAAGCTTATGCTTCTTGGTTAGACTAGTTTAATTTGTCTGCTTGTACAAGGAGTAGGTCACCTGTCCAACATCGTGGGTTTTTGTATGGGTCCTTTTGTATAATATTTTGCACATATTTCTATTTTAGCCATCAACAAGTATAGCAATGGGCAGACCGGCTACATCTCCGGCTGTTGTAATACAGCCTCAGACAGGTGTAGGCCGAGGGCAACCACAGGTACTACCAAATACTGTAACAACTAGCTCTCAAGTACTTCCTGGTACACAAGCTGTAGGTCAACCACAAGCAGCAGTAACTCAACCTGGAGCAGCTGCAGGTGAGTTTTCTTATTCACACCATCATCTCCCATGCTTTCATCCTGTTAAAGTAATCCCAAAACATATCAACTTAACAACATTTTGATTTATTAAGTACTGAATCTTTTCTTTGTACTGGCTAGTAATGAACCATATCTTTACCTTCATTATCACTGTCATCACTGAAATATAGCTGAAATTGCTTTTGCTTTCTAGTCAGCTGATGGTTGAAATTCTCCAGAATTTCCACTAGTTTTAATTTCATTTCCCATCATTTTCAGGTCAGCAAGGCATGTTACAAAATGTTGAAAAATGTAAAAATTTTCTGTCTACCTTAATTAAACTGGCTCAAAGTCAACCACAAGAAACTGTGCGGAATGTCCGTGAGCTCATACAAGGACTGATCGTAAGTTTTAAATTTGTATACGCCCACATTGAAATGTGGTGTCGTATATTGCCATCTCCCCCGTCCATCCACCGATTCGGTGTCCACAATTGCTTGTACTTGTAGACGCTCCAGAGGCTAAAGTTAATATCTGATTGACTTTAAATTTATACACAATGTTTAAGGTCCTGAGAAGAATAAGTCTATTGATTTTCAGCAGTTTCTGATAATTACTGCTAGAGTTATGGCCCTTGATCGCTTTGAAAAATCTTGTGGAGGCACTAGAGGCTAAAGTTAATATCCGATTGACTTTAAATTTACACACAATGTTTAAGGTCCTGAGAAGAAGAAGTTTCTGATAATTACTGCCAGAGTTATGGCCCTTGATTACTTTGAAAAATATTGTGGATGCTCTAGAGGCTAAAGTTAAAGATACATTATGGGAGATTTTTATAGAGAGTTGGCCATTCTTGCTATAAGAGTTCAAAAGTAGATGATGAAAGAAGAATATATTGAAAAATTCAGTCAAATTACTTTATTCTGAACATAGTTATCATCGTTGTAATATTTGCCTAAAAATGGTAGCGAAATGTGTCTTCACCTTCGCCGATCGTTTGATTGACAGGCGTTAACTCCACCTACATATCTCGATTATCAAGTAAAGTTGGCATACGGAAACGCTTTACAGCGGCCTCGCTAAGTACACTCTATCATTTAGCCTCGATCTAACTGACGTATTTTCATCAGGTTACCCATTATTTGATTTAATCAATTAATGAAATCCTATTTAAATCCGAACTGTAGCCGAGCCATCCGTGGGTCTACAGAGTTGATTTTGGTCTTGTTGTTTAAATAAAGATCTAATTTATAATTTCTATAACATCTGAAGCCTAAATTAAGACTTGCAATAATCAGATTTAGCTCTTGCATAATGCATGTTTAATATCGAATTGACTTTAAATTTATACACAGTGTTTACGGTAATAAGACAAAGACACCTATTTATTTCTAACAATTTCCGATAAGTACTTCTAGAATTATGGCCCTTTATCACTTTGAAAAGTCTTGTGGATGCTCTAGAGGCTTAAGTTATTATCCTATAGACTTTAAATTTATACACAGTGTTTACGGTCATGAGATGAAGAATCCTATTGATTTTCAACAAATTCTGATAATTACCGCCAGAGTTATGTCCCTTGATCACTTTGAAAAATCTTGTGGCCACTCTACAAGGTAAAGTTACTATCCGATAGACTTTAAATTTATACACAGTGTTTACGATCATGAGACGAAGAAACCTATTGATTTTCAACGATTTCCGATATTTACTGCCAGAGTTATCGCTTTAATCATTTGAGAAATCTTGTGGACATGCTACAGTCTAAAGTTAATATAAATTTATTTTGTCATGAGACAAACAATCGAAACAAATTCTAATGATTTCTGATAATAATAATAATTACTTAATGGGTTATTACACGTAATCAGATTTTTATTGAAGGGTATGACTGCCAATATTAAATGCTCTGCTACAATGTCTTTTCCATTGATTATATGTGAAAAGTACAAAGGAAAAAGTCCTAATACCGGTAATGATAAAGTCAAAATACTTCTAAGACAAGAGTTAAATGTAAATTGTCAAATGTTAAGTGTTAAATAACAAATGTTTTATGGGAAAATGCTTTTTTTGATGTGTCTACATTTTACATTTATCTCAAAAATCTCATTACATTTTACGACCTTTTTTTGCCATCTGAATTTGTAGTAATAATTTTGAAAGTTTGAAGTAGTCGCATTTAACATCATGTCATAGGCATCAAAAAGTTTGAGATATTGTTTCCAGATTTTACTAAAAGGGTTATTCATGTTTATTTGATTATTTAATAAACAAGGATATTATTGTATGTCGATCAATATATAATTATTTTAAACAGGATGGAAAAGTGGAGCCGCAAACGTTTACAGAAAAATTGCAAGTGGAATTAAAATCTTCTCCACAGCCATATCTTGTACCATTTTTAAAGGTAATCTTTTTGTCCTTGATAAAATATAAATGAATAAGATTTAAAAGAACGAGACTACTGGGATTCTGAGGTTGTGTATCACCTTCTTTGGCCAGACATATTCCGAAAAATGTAAATGACGCACAGAGACTTGAAGTAACCTTTAACAGCTCCTTCTGACATCTAAATGAATTTTGTGAATTTGATTGAAATGTTATAGTTGATGTTTCATTCTCTGTATGGTCTTGAGACATTCATTGACTTATGAACTGCATCACTGACTCACAAAGTAGTGTTTCTACAAATAGGTTATCCATAGTTTGCCGAGAACATGCATTATATTACAAAATTTGGGGGCATTCTAGATTTAATTTAATTTTATTTTTCAGAAAAGTCTGCCATTATTGCGGCACTATTTAATCATGGATAAAATGACAATAGATGGTGTAAAAGCACCACCACCAGAAATAGCTGGTATGCATCCTATGCCTGTCATGTCTTCTGTTCAACAAAGACCAGTGGCTCCTTTTGGTGTACAGCAGGTAAATAGGAATCAGATTTCTCTTAATGGAACTTAGATACAGAAATACCTGTTCAGCCTGCTCATATAGACAATATGCTGAGGCCCGTGTGACTAGAAATAGCCTAACTTTATGATATTTTAAAATTTTGAGAAAAAGTCAGGGTTATCATACTAAATTAAATCTTTTTCTTCAAGCTTCATACAGGAGCTACAGCAGTCGAGCCTTAGGCCCTCAACCAGAATTTCTTGTGTTAGGATTCTGGCGTGGACTGAGAAAAATGTCAGGATTTTTTTAACCCAATTGCCACTTATCAAGTATAATGTTGTATAGACAAATAACCGACGTCCACCCCATATACATATTGACAAAAAATCTTCCTCCCTAGAACTTCACATGTGATGATAGCAAATATGTTAAGTCTCTGATTGAGAAAAGTATTACATTGATGGGATCTTAAACTCTATTCCTTTTCTTACCTGATTCATACAAACTCATACAAACTTTGGAGTTTTATCACAGATTCTTACAATTTAAGTTAATAACAACTCTGTAAAATTCTACAACGTGAATTTCTGTTTCCAGAGACAAACATGTGAACTAAAAGTGTATTCTGATGCATTTTAATTTGATCATAAAATATTCTTGTTTAGATGGTGATGCGTCAAGGTGTACCTGGTCAGATGTATGTACGACCAGGTAATAAAGTTTTAGTACAAGGTGCACCAACTTCATCTGCGAACCTAGTACGTATAAAAACACCTATACCAATACAAGGAAATCTTGCATCTGGTGTTAATTCTTTCCAAACTAGAGTTGTGAAAGCTTCAGGAAGTCCGGCACCAAAAGAAAAACAGAAATTTGAAGCATTGAAGTAAGTAATATCCATACATTTAGATCACTAATCTATGTAGGCCAAAATTGGGCATATTTTAAGAATCATATGCAATAACTGAATTCTTCAAGCATAGATCAGAAATGAAATGACTTTCTTCGTGAAACGGATATATTTTAATGCAAAATATTGATTATCACTTATATTAAAGAAATTTTCTATGTCTGTCCACAATTTGTTTGTGGACACTCTACAGGTCACAATTCTTATTCGATTTTGACGAAACTTGAAATATAGGTTTATCTCCAAAAGGTCTCGGTTCCTTTCGATATTAGCATGTATTGGATCAAAACTTCATGGATTATGGCCACTGATTGTACAAAAAATCACATTTTTAGCTTGTGGACACTCTAGAGATCACAATTTTCATCTGATTTTGATGAAACTTAAAATGTATGTTTATAACCCAAAGATCTTGGTTCCTTTCGATATTTGCGCATATCGGATCATAACTTCCTGAATTATGGCCCCTTATTGTACGGAAAATCACATTTGTAGCTTGTGGTTCCGCTGGAGGTCATAATTATTATCCAATTTAAAAAAAGTTCGAAGATATCACCGTTACACTGTAATGATGGTTGAGTTCAAATTTCGTGTATCAAGGTTGTGGAACCTCTATGGACGCTATTTTGATCCGGTTTTGATGAAACTTCAAATACATGTTTATAACCCAAAGATATCTTGGTTTCTTCCGATATTCACACATACCGGATTGTAACTTCCTGAATTATGGCCCCTGATTGTACGAAAAATCACTTCTTTTTTTTTTTAGCTTGTTCTCTATCCATCTCTTGCAAAATGTGGGCGTATCTTGCCTGGCAACCGCTAGTATAAGATATGTCTTTATTCCATTACAGAGATGGGGATGACGATATTAATGATGTAGCAACAATGGGTGGTGTTAATTTATCAGAAGAATCTAAGAATATTTTAGCAACTAATGCTGATTTTATTGGTACACAAATACGATCTTGTAAAGACGAAGCTTTTCTATTCCATGGACCATTAATGGCCAGAATACATGAAATAGGTCAGTTGAATAATTAAAACTGTTAAAGAAGCTAAATCGCTAACATTTGGGACCTAGAAATTCACAAAAGTGGGTCGCAACGCATATAATACTGTAATATGAATGTATATAAACTGATTTACATTTAATGGTTTCCGTTTTTACTCCAATTTCAAATCAGTTATGTTTGGCGAAATAAGTCCAATCTCAATCGAGTGCAAATTTCTAGCGTCTAGTTATTCTAGTCTACATAACTCCATTTGATTTGGTGCAATGTGTCTAGCCTCGTCCCTCGAGTCTCTCAATACAACTGGGGCTGAAGCGCATTATGGTACATGATTTGTGTACCAATGTTAAAAAAAATTATTTTATCTTAAATATCGGATATCAGAAGCTCATCTTTTCCCGGTAAGTTTACATCATCAATGTTGATTTAAATTGACCAATAATTCGTGTTTTCGATGTCGAAGATTTTGGAGGATTTTGAGTTACGGACTTAGGTCCTTTAAGAAAACAAGTAAAATAGGTATGAATTAACTTCAACAAAATTAAATAAGAGTTTCTTGCCACTCTTATGACATAAAACAACTTATAGGTAATATGCTCAGTTAATCTTGGTATGAATTTCGCTAAACAAGCCAAATACAGTCAGTCTAATTCTGGTTGATCAATACTATTTTTAATCAGTCTCCACCTACCTTTATATTGTGGGTATCGTGTTAAATCCAAGTTTAACCATATGTGATCCCATCTAATCTAATTTGTATTTTATTTTACAGCTAAGAAGCATGGTTTAGATGAAGTATCGTTAGATGTAGCTAATATGATATCACATGCCACACAAGAACGACTACGTGATATGGTAGAAAAATTATCAACTATAGCAGAACATAGAATAGAAATATATAAAGTAAGATATAAACAATACAAAATTTCATTACACTTACATTATGCAGCTCCTGTGATTTCTGCTTTAAGTTAAAGTTTATGTGGCTTTAAAGGGAATCCTGGTAGTTGTGTGAAAAGGGCATTTGACTGAAATCTTCCGAATTTGAATACTGACGACGTTGACTGAGAAGAGCCTTCAGGATTTTTCAAACTAATTCTTTGCTTAGCAGGAGTGACAAATAAAGTCTGTTTACTAGTAAGGATGGGACAAAAAAACTAAGTCCATCTTTGTCCACTTTGGTGTACACATAAAAGAAAATGTGACAGTTGAAAAGCAAAATTATCCTATCTCGCATGTAAGTGTAGACGTAACCAAAGTATTGTGTTGATGAGGCATTAAACCCCATTCTGTTCTGTATTTAAAAAAAGTAACCTACAATGTATGAACATACAAAAGTATATATTGTGTTAATTATCTTACTGCAATAATTAAAAGATTTTAATGTGTAGGTATTCATATTCTTGACATAGTTATAGCCCTGTGATTAAAGCCTATATTGTCTAGTGAAGTTAAATATGATTTTTGTTTTATACAGATGGATTCTAGGTATGAAGTAACTAATGATGTACGAACACAGTTAAAGTTTTTAGAAGAAATAGACAAGTTAGAGAAAAAAAGACATGAGGAGCAAGAAAGAGAGATTTTATTGAGAGCTATAAAGGTAAGTATGATAGAGCTTTCTATCTAATAACATTCTATACAGCAAAAATACTTTTATAACAAATAGTGCACAAATTATGAACATTTAGGAGACAAATATTTAGTCTCTATTATGCACAGCATATAACAAAATCTATTTCATCTAGTTTTGTGAATGGCTTTTTTTTATCTCAAAATAACTACATGACTAGAAGTGTAAGAACTTGACAATTATTAGTACAATGTATGGTGTTACTCAATAAAGCCTACAACTAGGTCTTTACAAAGCCTAGGTAATAACTTCCCATCATGTCTCTACAAAGTCTTTATAATAACGCCACGAAGAATCTGTAATGACCCACTCTCTAGGTCTTTACAAAGTTTATGTATTATAAGCTCCCACCTGGTTTTTACAAAAACTTTGTAGGATTGCAGTTATAATTTGACATCACCGGATTATATAATAGGTGTCATGTACTGAGAATAACATAATGTGTGTGAAAAACATAGAATATATTTAACTTTTATAGAGTCGGTCGAAGAATGAAGATCCTGAACAACTTAAACTTAAACAGAAAGCAAAAGAAGTAAGTTTATTTATTTTAAAGATTTGTGGTCATGAAAAAAATATCTATTTTATGTTCAACTTAAATCAATTCATAATATATGTCCTCTTTATCATTCATTGCCTTCTGGATAGGTAGAAGACATAAAGGGACACAATGCCAAAACCTAATTATGATGGATATTTTTTGTTTTATGGTTATGTCAGTAGTTATACCGTTATAAAATCACAAAGTCTTAATAATCAGAATATAACTAAGATGACCTTGTAACTGTTTTATGGTTGTAGCAGGTTACCCACGAGGTCAGACGCCTCACACTTTTGTGTTATCTAGCAAAATGATTAGCAAAATGAATTTCCAAATTGATATTAATTGTCCCTTTCTCGTAATAGCTCCAGGCAGCAGAAATGGAAGAAGTTCGGCAACGGGAAGCAAACTTAACAGCACTTGCAGCCATTGGACCGAGGAAAAAAAGAAAAATAGAAACAACAGATTCTGGTCAAACAGTAAGTTTTATAAATAAGGCCATATGAAATAAGATATTCTGTAACCTGTAAAGGACTGCATAAATTGTATATATTTCAAAAAAATAAAAACATCCTCATTGATTGGTAAAGGAAATTAACTATTAAATATGTCATGTTGAATTCAGAAGTGTACTGAAGGCTCAGTTAACAAGTACACAACCCTGATAAATATTACTGAGAGCCTCTGAGGTCACTGACTCATTGTTATCAGTATATGGCAATTATCCATTCTTCTGCTTTTCATGCAATTCATGTAGTAATGATTAAAGAAATTACTGAAATTATTCTCATTGGAAGATGGAAGAAGCTTTATTTACATTCATAGAACTACAAAGTCTATGCTTGTAAATAAAGTTTTATTTAGATTAGCATACAGTAAATTCTGCATTCCTATAAAAAACATTTATAATCAGATGATCAGATAAATGTACAAGCTTGAAATGAGATGCTGGTGAGAAGTCATTTAGCCCATTGATACTTTGACAAAATAAAAACAAAACAATAAAAACCTCTGATTGGAAGGGTTGTCTGAGACCCGGAATGTTGTTTTGTATTGCCTAAAATACATTTTTGTTACTTATAAAACCGTAACTACATTACAATAAAATTAAGTATCACTCAGCGCAATATAGAATTAAGATTAGATTAAAAATCAAAAATTAATGCCTAGTATAAAAATAACATCACAATGTCTGTGTGAGCAAAAGCAGTTTACTTTGTTTGATTGAATAAGTAAGTAAATTAATCTGTGTTTGTGATATTTCAGGCTGGTACTAGTAGTTCAACAGGAGCTAATGGCAGTGGTGTGTCTTCAAATATATCGGTAAAAAAAACCCCCACATTTTTCTGTTTTATAAGTTTTGTCATGTTATTAAATAATTGCTTTGATATATGTAACAGGAATAAATGGGCTTGCTGGAGCTTTTACAGAAACTGTCAACCAGTTTTCAATGAAAACCTAATTAATTTCATTCCTCACATTACTCATAGAGTTTCAATTCCAAGGGAGATAACTTTCTTGACCAGTTTTATCTCCCCTTAGACCACAAATGCATGATTCTTACTGGAAAACTGGAAAATAATGTGTATAGAAATTCTGTTGCATTTTTAATCCAAAATTCACATTAAATAATATTTATTTTTTATTTTAAAATTCAGGTTATGAATAGACCCAGAACGAAAAGAGTGAATCTCAGGGACATGTTATTTTTATTAGAACAAGAACGATCAGTGTCCAAATCAAATCTACTTTATAAAACATTCCTAAAGTGAAATCATGTGTGAATTAAATCTAGACTTAATCTAGCATAATTCCAGCGGTACAGATTCAGTGCTCTTTCTTTGGACACAGAAAATGTGGGCAGCAGAAGTGAGTGACATGAAAAGTATCTGGCGGGTGTGTCTGTAAAGATTGGGTTAACCAGAAGGCAGCTAAAGTGCTTTAAGAAAGTTGGTGCTGGATACATTACGGTGCAAATATGTACTACTAAAAGACATTTCGAGGCAAAACAGTATCACTGTGATCTCGTGCCAATCTCAAACAGATGTTATGTGTGACGTATGAATTGCTGTGATGATTGACGATAGATACTACTGTTATCGCGTTGTTAGAGAAGGACTCAAGCAGTGCTTGAAGAATTTGTTACACGATCTATGTGAAGTCACTTGTGATCTAGTGACATCGTACAAATTGCCATTACTTTGTGTAAGGTAATGAAGAAAATAATAAAGTTTAAAGACATTGAATTAGAATTTTATATAGATATACATAGAGATGGTTATATACCAGTATCCTGCATCTTTTACTTACAGAATACTGGTTAGAAATTTTAGAATTGAATAGTTTACTAGTAACAGACTATTTAAAGTAAACCTAATCTAGTACTAACAGAAACAGGGAACCTGTAGGAAGTTCTTTTTTACAAATTTATTTGAAGTTTGTTTCTGCTATCAAATTGGAGGAAAGTTATTTAAATTTATATATCTTTCATTTGATGAAAGTGATCAATCTTGATCCCAGAGATAAGTTTACCCTCTGTTAAAACTGGCCGGCCATACATCGGCCATTTTGAATGTCATATGATATATCCTTCCGTCGGTCGCTTCACAAAGATCCAAGATGGCGGCTCAAACCCTCGTTTTTTTCAGAAATTTCACATATTTACCCGAATCATTCACATTGTGTGCTAAAAATATTTCTCGGTAAATCATCAAATCGGCTGTTTTCGAATGAACTTTCGATGTCAAGATGTGGAAAATGTTCCAAGGATCATTAATATGTAACTCATGCACTGAATCGATGTCTAATTGTCCAGAAATCGGCAGCATTTCATTCTAACAATTCCTGCCAATCTGTAGCCACTGGGGTGGGAGCTTAGGAACCAAGATCATGCTGATTAATGGCTGGCGAGTTTTACCAGAGATAAACGACAGGTAAAGTTATTTCTGGGATCGAGATTGGAAGGTGATGAGAATTAAATGGTTGATTATTGTAAGATAATTGTCTTCTGTCGTGACTTGACCTTTCACGTTTTTTTTTTCTTCGGACAGAACACCTATAGTTTCTTTTAATGATTGTATAATATGTTTTACAAGATGTCCTACAAGTAAGATTTTGGTTGAAACATATTTTAAAAAAGATTAATTGAAAGTAAAGGTAGCCTGATTCTCTAAACATACATCTACTAAATGCTTGACTCAAAATGTTCCTTCAAAATTAATTTAGTCATGTGTCTTTGCTAGAAATATGATGTTTTGAATGACCAGTAAATAGGCAGCCAATTGTATACTGTTGTTGAGATCATAAACAGCACTTGCTGCCACATATTCGATTATCTTAAAGACAATGCAAATTGCAAATCACATAATTTCTGCAAGCTATTAGAAAAACACAAATTACAGATGTAAAACAGTTTACCATAAACTCAAATTAAGCTGTATGATTTATTACAATAAAAAAGAATTTTCTTGATAGTGATATCACTCAACAGATATTAGTTCTCAAAGAAATGCATTTAAAAATTTTTATACGGTACCCAATTGTCAGTCCAAAATGTTCTACATTTGAGTGATACAGATATGAATACTGTCACTGTTCTTCCAGTCCCAAAAACAGATGCTGTTTGAGCAAATTCGTGATGTAATCAAACGTTTCAGCTAGGTTGATTGGTCAAGATAGTATCATATTCAGTTTTTGCATGCCTTGTTGCCTGAAATTCTTTTATTGACTCAAATGATCCCTTTCAAGGCAATGAGAGAATTTAATTCTTGACTATTTGATTAAGTATCATCTTTGTGGTTACTAAAATTAATGACTGCCAAGCCTTGAAATATTGTCATTTATTTATTTTTCAAAATCACCTCCAATACATTACTTTACTTATTACTCATGATAAACCTTTACTTATGCATTTACCCATAAAGAGTTTTGTTTGGTTATGGTTATACTGTCACTGTTTGGTTCTTTTTCTGATTTAGGTCAAAATAAAGTATTCAGTTGGATTGATCTAATGTTCTATTTCCATTAGTGATTTGACCAAACCCATACAATGGATGTTTTGTTTAGGAAGAATAAGCATAAGTCGGTTTTGTTTATTAATTTTAGAGACAATCATTTATCTAAACACCGCTTTATGTATCGAGACAAATTAATCTATAAAATTGAGTGGAAATAAGTGATTTTAATTTTTATCTAAATCAGAGAGATATGCCCATTATTGCTTTACAATTAACTGAGTCTAGTCATTCTTAACCTAATAAAATTGTTAGAAACAGTAAGTTAAAATGATTAATTTTAGAATGCTGGTTTACTATGGTAACCAATGCCAACTAAGTACTATTTTACAGTTACAGCAGACTTTAAATAGATTCTAGTCTTGAGCACTCCACCCCAGATTGTTCCACTCCATATAAATATTTGTTGTAATCAAGGCAGAAATATTTTGGGCTTGTACGATCAAGACACATACTATGTATTTCATTGATAACTTTGATCAAGTAGGCCGAATAAAGGCAGTATATAATTTTTAGTTTTATACAGTTAAAATTACCTAGATTTTTATTTTTATACTAATGTAGAATTTACTATTTAATATGGTGAAAAACAACATATTTTTGAACAACGTAGGTCTAATACTGTATTCTTTACCTTGTGTATTACCTGTAAACACCAGTTCACCCATAGGCAATAACATTCCTTACTGCTGTTAAGTTGTGTTAACTACTGGAGAACTCGGGTATCATTGCAGTATTCCGAGTTCACAAGTTGTGATGTCGCAAAGAAAGGAATGATAGCAGAGTATTGTAAGATTTTATTATTCTCAATCATTCCAGTCTAAATTGTCAAGCAATTATTTGTCTGGAAAAGACAGCACAAAATTTGTATACAGTGTCAAATGTTATACAAATATTACCTCATCTTTTCAATTTTTTGAGAGGAAAAGTGACTTTCAGATTGTATTGAAAATATGCAGAATCCATTGTTCATTGGTGGGTTGATACAAAATGTCCCATAAGTCATTGAATGAACTTGTAGACACGAACAACCAGACAGCAAGTTACCATCTGCACAATGGCAGTAATTGTAGTCGAAAAGGAGACAGTATAGACTGGAATGAGTAAGACTAAATATTTATTTATGACTTTTAAATACTAGAGAGTTTGATTATCGGCTTTTCATGTGAATAAATGTCTAAATAATAATTAATTTATATAACATTTGAAGCCAGAAAGAAAGACCTGTGATAGCCAGATTTAGCTCTTGCATTATGCATTTTTAAATATGGCATAAAACTTGTCTAAAGTTTAATTCATGAAAAAGGGAATAAGTACTGCAGAAAATTTCTGAATATAGTTTTAACGCTACATAGCATCCAATCGTAAACACACGTTCTTGCAGAGGTAAAAGAATACAGGATTGCTGTTCTCAATAACTTTGCAGTACATTTGCATGTATTTGAAAATTACTACTTCACTATAGTGTTAAGAAATAAATGTCATAAGTGGAAATAATTTCTTGAAGTTCAATTCTCTGTTCAAACTGTCTGTATTTATTTGAGTAATATAAGGATATATGGCTTGAAATTGTTTGTTGTACTTTAGCTAATGTAATATTAAAAAAGTTAAGAAACAAGTTTTGAAAATGAAAACATGATAAATAAATGTTGAAATTTTATTTCAAATGAAGAATAAAAACTCCAAAAAATCAAAATCAATAAAAACAAGCGTTGTATACACCAAGACCTTTCTATATAACACAGATTTATTAATTTTATGTAACAGTAGTTCTATGTTTATATCAAGGGTTTTTAACTGAATGTTGCTACCAACTTGCCTGGAATCAGTCCAATGAAAATGAGATATTATTTTCACTCTGTTAATTTGTATGGTCTTTCCATGAACATCTGAACTTCTAAAGGTATGTTTATGGTTCTTTGGTGACAGCTTGATAATTCATTCGACTGTGGTCAGACATCCAATCCAATATCTCGATAATCAAAGTTTTTTAAGAGATTCTGTGGAATTGTCTGTATCACAGGTAGGTTGATCTGGACATCTGCACATAAATGAATACAATCTAAAGAAATGACTTCAGAAGAGACTGAAGAGTAACCAACCAAAAATAACAAAACAAAATTTTGATATAATTTTTAATACGCGTGCCTATCACATTTAGGGAATATCCCTGATTAGTAATCGCATCATCATGTTCAAATTAGAAAATGTGCAAAATAAGAACATTATCTGCCTTTTCCCGATACTGACTCTTTAAAAATCACGAGTACCAGTATTACAGATTTCCTCATGGTGTTGTTGAAGGGATTTAATGACAGTTTGTGTAAAAATTGTAACCTTAATCCTGATACGGTCATCACTTGTAATTCCAGTAGTTAGTGAATTTATTTTCTTGTTTAAAGTGATAGTTCTGCTTTGCCCCATTTTTCGAACAGGTAACTAACTGCTTTGTTAGGTTAGGATCTTATATCACATGATAATGGATCACGTTAAGATGAAGTATGATTTATAAGCTACCAAATGATATATGACTTTGTTAATTGTCTATTAAAATGGGTTCATCCTCTGTCTGTCTGTCTGTCTGTCACACTTTTTGGGACACAATAACTCTCCTTCCTATTGAGCTAGAATGTTCAAACTTGGTGCAGATATTTATTAGGTTGATGCCTTGATGGAGTTCGAAGATGAGCATTTCCTGCTTAGGGTAAGCAATTTGATTGGTTGATGCTTTTGGGCAAGATAACTTTGGTTATAATTAAGTGAGAGCTATGAAACTCTGAGTATAGATTTATTATAGCATTACCTTGTTTGATGAGAATTTTCTGCTAAGGCTAAGGAGCGATAAGCAATTTTATTGGTGAAGACTTTGGAACATAACAACACGCTTTTAATTGAGGTAGAATGTTTAAACTTGATGTTGATGTACATTACGTGAATGTCTTGACTGAGTTCAATGATTAACATTTCCCGTGAAAACTAAGCAGAGCTAAGCAATTTCTTTGACTTTGATTCTATCTGATAGAGAGTGATGAAACTTAGTGTATAGTTAATAATCAGTTCGATTGCTCGATACTTTTGAAAAAGATAAACATGCAATTAATTAATATGTGTCATCTATTTATTTCGAGATTTTGTTGGGGGACATCAGCCTCACTGTTGGCTTGTCACAACTCTGATTATACTGCAAATTCCTCAATTCATCTAAAGTATGAACAATATGATGTGTTAGCAGTGATGGTTTCAGATTCAGTCTGACATTGTTGTCTTCGAATGGATCTCAATCAGGATTTGATCTTTTCTGTTTATCTTCAGCATCAATTAAACCTTTTGTGTACCATGCCCTAGCTCAACATCGCAAATTTTTCTCTCAATCCCCCCCCCTCCCCACTTTGATATGTATAGAGGAGACCAGCGTTTCCGACAATAATTTGTACGAAAATTTTCTTTGGTGTAAAAGTAATAATGGAACACATGAAGTTTATTCTTATGAACATCATTTTCAAATTTCCCCCTTGTGGGGTGTGTACCCCACATTTGGAATCACTGAATTAGACAATTAGTTTGTTGGGGAGGAAAGTGGGACGACAGATGACCTAAGTATATTTAAAATAATTTAAAATAGTATAATTTGTGAAGTACATCTAGTATTATTAACATTAAGGCTTTTGTATTCTATGCAAACAATACATTTCTTTAAGGCCGAGTACTTAACTATTATTTGATTAATGAATGCATTCTAGTAAAAACTGCAGCTTAAATGGGTTTAGGTAATTATTGAACAAAATCAACTATTATATCAATTTAAAACAGTAAATTGTTTTTGATAAAAGAAATTACTTTATGTACATAAATTATCACATTTTTCAATTCATTATAAAATAAGAGAAAACAAGAATTACCCAAAAGGCAGCAACATGAATTGAATAACACTAAGTATATTGTAGCAGTATTTAATACTTCTATAAATATACTGGAGAATATTCTTTCTTTCAAATTAAAATATCTATATATGTAAATAAGACAATTGCATGTACATTTTGTGTTTTCCTATTTGAACATATCATTATTGCATGTAACTATATACACACACATTATATATATAATGATTGAATATAAAATATGATATATCTAATAACAACACTAATCTTTGTGTATTTTCTTTTTTTATCAGTAATCATATTTTTTTTATTATTGTCCCCCGCCTTTCGAAGAAAGCAGGGGACTATTAAAATAGGTTTGTCTGCCTGTCTGTCCATCCCATGTTTTGGGACACAATAACTCTCCTTCTAATTGAGCTAGAATGTTCAAACTTGGTGTAGGTATTTATTAGGTCGATGCCTTGATGGAGTTCGAAGATGAGCATTTCCTGTTGTTGTTAGTTGGTTGTATTTTACGTCCGCTTCCACAGAGGTGATATCGCAGACAAAGAGCATTTCCTGCATAGGGTAAGCAGATAAGCAATTTGATTGGTTGATGCTTTGGGACACAATAACTTTAGTTCTGATTAAGTGAAAGTGATCAAATTTGGTGTATAGTTTCAATACATCAATACCTTGACTAAGTTCGATAATGAGCATTTTCTACTGAGGGTAAGAAGAGCAATAAGCAATTTCATTGGTCGAGACTTTAAAACACAATAATTCTTCTTCTAATTGAGCAACAATGTTCACACTTGGTGTAGGTGTTTATTAGGCGAATGCCTTGATTATGTTCAAAGATGAGAATATTCTGCTAAGGGTAAGCAGAGATAAGCAATTTGATTGGTTGATGCTTTGGCACACAAAAACTTTAGTTCTGATTAAATGAGTGACCAAACATGGTGTATAGTTTCATCACATCAATACCATGACTAAGTTCGATAATGAACATTTTCTGCTGAGGGTAAGCAGAGCGAAAAGCAATTTGATGGGTCCAGACTTTGAAACACAATAACTCTCCTTCTAATTGAGGTAAAATGTTCAAACTTGGTGTAGGCATTCATTAGGTGAATACCTTGATGGAGTTCGATGATGAACATTGTCTGTTTAGTTAAGAAGAGACAAGCAATGTTTTGCTTAGGCTAAGGAGCGATAAGCAATTTGATTGGTCAAGACTTTAGAACATAACAACTCTGCTTTTGATTGAGGTAGAATGTTTAAACTTGATGTTCATTAGGTGAATGTCTTGACTGAGTTCAATGATTAACATTTCCCGCTAAAACTAAGCAGAGCTAAGCAATTGCTTTGACTTTGATTCTGTTTGTTAGAGAGTGATAAAACTTAGCGTATAGTGTATATCTATTTATTTTGGGATTTCGGTGGGGAAAATCAGCCTCACTGTTGGCTTGTTAATATTAATATTGAGTTAATAGGGTCTCATTTTATTAATGCAGTACTAATCCTTTAAGAGTAATAATACAGCATGGGTAACTTCCCATCATATAAAAAAATCCTCAAAACAATATGCATGTAAATTCTATATTAGAATGTTATTATTCTTGTTGAAGGATTTGGGATGGTTATCTGAAGTCTGTTTATAATGCATAGTATTTTCGGATGTAAATATACACAGGGTGGGTTCAGGCAAAATGGACTTTTATGAGAGTTTCTATGTGTATGGTGCACATACTAATTGCCTGCAAACTCCAACACGAGCATGACTTGATATGTTGAAACGGCCTGTGTCGCCCAGTTTTTTTGGGAAAATTTTCAAGAGACAATGATGTTTTTGAGACATTGACATCACAGGTAGATCCCCTTATCTTTAAACAGACTGAACACAAGATGCCAAATATTCCAAGTCAGATTCCAACCAAATTATTTACTGTTTATGTATGATATAATAGAATCTTTGTAAAAAAAATTGTCAGAAGAAATTAATCTCGAGGTTGGTGGTTTTTGCTCTAAAAACAATTCACAAATATTTCAAATTGTGCTAATGGCATTGTGTAATAATCATAAAAGGTTACCAATTAGACTCTCTCCCTCTCTCTGAAACCAATAAGATTGCTTAATATGTAGAGTATACTAAAAGAGTGTATTTTAACTATAACTGGCCTAGCTGTATTATATTTACAGAGATTTGCATACTTTTATGCTGTAATAGTATATTACTGATAAATAAAAAGTTATGTTTTAAAGAATATCTAAAACTATGACTGTGTTATTCGTTTTTGTACATTTTGTTTCATAAATAGCATCATTTGTACATAATGCACAGTGTTAAACTAAACACTGCATAAAACATTTATATAATACAAACCTGTTAAAAGGGTCACACAGTTTTCTTAAACATAAATCACAGAAATTACACAGTTTTGTATTGATCATTTTTTCTAAGAACTTGACATGACTAAAGATGAGATTGTCTTAAGAAAGTTTTGTGATCTAGAGAGCTGTGTTGTATAAAGGTTTATATATATATATATATATATATATATATATAGTTGAACATACTAAAAGAGGAATCATTCATTGTTATATTTGCAGTGATGTCTAATTTATTGTAGATATTATTATTTGTAAAAATTTAATTTGTATATTGTATATGCGATAGGCATCCTTATATCAGAGAAGATTGTGGTATGTATTTTCCCAAAATGGAAATTAAAAATATCCAAATTTTAAAAGTTTTTCATCATTTATTGTTTTTGTGGTGTAATAACCTACATAAAGCTAGGCTTCTTTTCGGCTGGAACAATAAAAGAAATTCTTGGAAGTTCAGATTAACGCATGTGTGTTTTTCTACGCCCACATTTTCATGTGGACGTATATTGTCGTCACCCCTGTCCGTCCGGACGTCCGGTCATCCGGACGTCTGGATGCCTGTCCATCCACAATTTGTTTGTGGACACTCTACAGGTCACAATTCTTATCCGATTTTGACGAAACTTGAAATATCTCCAAAAGATCTCTGTTCCTTTCGATATTGGCATGTATTGGATCGAAACTTCATGGATTATGGCCCCTGTTTGTACGAAAAATCACGTTTTTAGCTTGTGGACACTATAGAGGTCACAATTTTTACCCGATTTTGTTGAAACTTGAAATCTAAGTTGATAATCCAAAGATCTTGGTTCCTTTCGATATTCGCGCATATCGGACCGTAACTTCCTGAATTATGGCCCCTGATTGTACGAAAAATCGCGTCTTTAGCTTGTGGACCCTATAGAAGTCATAGTTTTTATCCGATTTAAAAGAAAACGTATTATTATATCCCCGTTACACCCTAAGGATGGCTGGGTTCGAATTTCGTGAAAATCGGCCGAAATTGACAGACAAAATGGCCGCCGTTCGTTCTCAAATAGCGTAAAAATATGATATATCAAGGTTATGGACCCTATAGAGGTCAAAATTTCTATCCGATTTTGTTTAAACTTGAAATGTAAGTTTATGACCCAAAGATCTCGGTTCCTTTCGATATTCGCGCATATCCGACTGTAACTTCCTGAATTATGGCCCCTGATTGTACGAAAAATCGCGTTTTTAGCTTGTGGACCCTATAGAGGTCATAATGTTTATCCGATTAATAAAAACGTATTAATATATCACCGTTACACCCTACGGAAGGCTGAGTTCGAATTTCGTGTAAATCGGCCAAAAATTGACAAAATGGCCGCTGTTCGTTCTCAAATAGCGTAAAAATATGGTATATCAAGGTTGTGGACCCTATAGAGGTCACAATTTTTATCCAATTTTGTTGAAACTTGAAATGTAAGTTTATAACACAAAGATCTCGGTTCCTTTCGATATTTGCGCAGATCGAATTGTAATTTCCTGAATTATGGCCCTTGATTGTAGGAAAAATCACTTTCTTTTTAGCTTGTTCTCTATCCATCTCTCGAAAATGTGGGCGTATCCTGCCTGGCAGCCGCTGATTATAAGAAAGGTTAAAAATTCTGAAATGCCAGAATAAACAGAGACTTAATCAGAAAATGTAAACCATAATTAAAAGAATGTGGATCCGATGGTACCCTTTTGTTGTAGAGATTTTGTATGGAGTCTAACTTATACCTTTGTCAAGCCGTAATATATTTTTTTTTTATGCATGGTTTTTTTTCGTGGGGGGGGGGGGGTATTCAGCATTAGTTTGTTTGCTCCATTCAATGAGTGTGTACTGTATTATTTGTACTATGCCTATTATTTCAAACACATTCAATTCATGTTTGGCAAGAAAATTTCAGTTATAATTGAAACTGAATTTCAGAAAAATGGCTTGAAGTGTGATTACAAGACACAAGTGAATCAATGGCCAATAGTATTGTTTATATAAGTATATGTGTTACTCAAGGTGCTTATATGAATACAATCAATCGACACTCTGACTTAATCGACTCACTTATATGTCACTCTAATGTTACTCTAATACTACCACCTCCCCTTTTCTAAAACGATATAAAACAGGTTTTCGGTTAAACAGTACTTTGTTGTTTGCAGTATCACCGAGGCTGGAATCAGACGTGAAACCCTGTATTATTATAGTAATAGTACCAATACCAGTCATACTTTTGCTTCGGGTAAGTTGATTTTATTATATTCTATTAAAGATACATTATGGGAGATTCGGTAACGAGTTGGCAGTTCTCACTATAATAGTTAAAAACTAGATAATGTAAAGGCAATTTGGTGAAAATTTCATTCAAATTGATCCACTATGAACCGAGAACTAAGCGACTGAAATTCCCATAAGCCTCGGTCATCATTACTAAAGTCAGTGCGATAAACAGCATAGTCTCGATTATCCATTTAATCGTTTAATAGAGAAGGAAAGTTATGCAGTAACTCGGCTTACAATCCACTAAAGATCGCAGGCTAGCGCTGCCATCTAGAGTCGATTATGGCCTGGATAGGTTAATTAAAGTCTAATTAATAATTTAGATAACATTTCAGGCCTAAAGAAAGACCTGAAATAGGCTGATTTAGCTCTTGCATAATGCATGGTTACATAATTTATGGTTGGTCAGAATTTTGTGTCCCTGAATATTATATTAACAATATTCAGAGATACGAAAATTCAGATTTAGTATTAGTTATGGATCTTTTAGCAATAACCCTAACACCAGGTGTCGCGCCTTAATCAGGGGAATTTTTTTTAAAACAAATTAATCATGTATTGTCTTTCACATTCCTTACAAGGATTTGTTCACTATAACCAAATAATAT